TTGCACGGTGTAACAATATACGAATGTGCTGTAGTTGGGGGTTATTTTGTGCTATATTTTTAGGAGTTCGAAACTAGGGAAAATTTGGGATGTTGACTTTGTGGAGGTTTTAGGGGTTTTCTTTCTTTTCTCATCGTAAAGATTTTATGGCAGTTTCAGTCATAGATTTATGGCTAAGATTTGGTTAAAATAAAGGGCTGCCAATTACTTATGAATATATTAACTACTCTAAGAAGGAAAGAAGACAAGAAATCAAAAATTTTAGGCTTGCAAAGAGCCCTTTCATTTAGGGTGGACTCCTTGCAAGCCCAAAGAGGGTATGGTCCGTCACACTCTTTCTGCTCTGATTCCAAAAGATAGATATAAAGAACAAAATAAAACAATTGTGAGGGATTAGGCCACCTCTCTAGGCTTTCTTGGGAGCAAGCTCCAAAAGAAGGGTAACTTCTCAAGCCCAAGTCTACACTCCACAAAAGTTCAGAAATTAAAAGGGAGAAACCTAAGTCCTAACCTAACCCACAAGTGACGTTAATACAAGCAAACCTCAGCCATTTATCTAAAAACTCTGATAGATTAATTCCTAAGAGTTAAACATGAGATCCCTTTAAATGTTTAAAAAAAACAGGTAGGGTGCTCCTAGAAGGCAGCATCGATCAGGAGAAAGAAGAAAAAGAGGAGAGAAGGGAGCAGGGGAACGTGAGGGAGGTGTGGAGAGTTGGTTTGCTTGGCTCTAGGTGAGCGACTAGGTCTCAAGGCACCCGAGACAGACATATATGTGTATATGTGTTTTATTTTTGTGCATTTATGTATGTATATGTAATCTAACTAAACATATAAGTGCCTAAATGCTGTAGAGCACATTGAAATCATTGGATCAAATTAATAAATGACATCCACGATTCCATAGAACACTCAAATACCCATAGAAATTAAAGACCAATATTAAATAACTTAAATACAAACAAGACCACAACCACATGTCAATACACCAATGTGCATAGACTCCAATCTTCATAGCCTGTACTCTTTCAGAAATGGCAAATCCAAAGTTCAAACCCAAAATTTAGTGAGAAATGTGGAAGTCATAAAATTAAAATCATACAAAAGATGAAAAGAAATTGAATAAGAATTTATGTTCCAATGATCATCATCGCCAATCTTCGAGTTTTGGATAACTATGAACGTCTAAATCACCCTTAAATACCCCTTATAACTTCTTTTTGTGGTTAAAAATTCATCCAATTAGAAAAAAAAAAAAAAAGATAACGTTTGAGATGATTTTTCAAAGTAGTAAAAAAAATTGACCTCTAAGAAATTTCAAAGATATGGCTTTTTTTTCATTGTTTTTATGGGGCTTGAATGCCCCAAAAAGAGCTTGTGGGGTTTTCAATACCCCAAACCCTTTCCCCCCATAAAAAGAAAAGAAGAAAGGGGGGACGGGGAGGGGGAGGTGGAGGGGGTGTGGGGGGTTGGGGGGGAGACAAAAGTGCCTTTGCCGAAGGGCATTTCCCACCCATGGGGAAGGACAAGACCTGGGCGCCGGCCCAGGTCTGGGTGCCGGGTGCAACTTGGCGAAAGCCCTAGCCCAGACCACACAAAGAGGCCTGCCTATCCCTAGGAGGGGCAGGGTGGCAACCGCAGAGGTAGGTGGGGCAATTGTTGTTTACATAATCCCTATAATTATAAAAGACACTAGCTCCAAATAAACTCCAACAACCAATGTTTTTGAACTTGGCTCGAGCATGGAACTTAGCCACGTGCCACGTTCCTCAAGCTAGTCCAAGTCGACTCGCCCGAGTTTGTGGTGAGCTACATGAGGAAGTCTGAGTCAACTCGCTTGGGTAGTCAAACAGTCTACGCACTTACCCTGATTCCAATATCTTAAGAAACATGACAAAATGAACCTTAACTATACATGAATGCCACGATGTCAATTGCATATGGAAAGTTGATGGGCGTAAGGCTATAAGGAATGGCTAACACAACCTCTAAGTTAGAAGCTCTAAGTGAGAATTTCACACAGGAAACTTTGCCTCGGTCACACTGAGGGAGTTAAGTGACAATCCTCATATAGAAACAGGGAACCCGTTACCCATTAAAGAACTGTTTTAAATAAAAGATAAGATCAAGGTGTATAGCCCATTTATCGAGTAGCATACTGTCATGTGTTCACTTAAATGGGCATCCAAAAGAGTGGGGCCTGTTGATGCACGAATCCACCAATTACCCATCAGGCTTTTCTGATGTACTAGGCAGAAAAGGAGCACACTAAGGTAACGATAGTGTTACCAGCGAGAGCTTGGGATGACTACTACCCTTTATTGTAAGGCATGTTGTAATAATATAGCTGATGTAGATAGGAAAATGAACATAGACAACCAGTGGGCCATGTAGCAGCGTTAACCGTGTTTCATGTGAGTAATGGGAAAGTCAAAATATTAAAAAATGCCAAGACAAGAGAATGTATTTCTAAATTGTGTGAGCAGCAGCAATCATGATATATGGTGCCGTGCCACAATGATGATTGTGTTCCTTTAAAGCAATAACGATCACCAAGCTCCAATTGATAACACCATCGTTAGCTTAGGAAGCTCCTCTCAAGTCCACATGCATCGGCTTCCATCTTATACCTATGTTGGAAGAGGAACAAATGAATACACAAAATAGTTAGTCTAGAACATTGAATGTTTTCAAGATGACAATACACCACATTTTTTTATGGGCCTTAGCTCACAAGGAATTTCAAGGCCTTTATTCTTTGGATCACAATTGAGAGTGGAAGACTGTTTCTCCTTTGTGTTGCACCCTTCGCTCTAGGCTAAAATGCCCATATAACATAGACATGAATATGGAGAAAGGGGTATGGCTCCACATACCTCGAAATCTAGGACGAGGAAACAGAAAAGGCATATCCTCTTTGATGCATCGACAGCATTTATTACTGCTTCTATGATACATAAATGCATGCATCCAACAAATATATTTATAAACCATATCATAAAAGCAACATTATCATTTTTTATTCATATTTTATTTTATTTTTATAATTATGCCAGTTCATAGATACAACTATCCTAGGAAGCACATAGCAATGGTATCACTATTGGCGTAGCCCCAAAGACTACCTAAGTTGAGCTTCCGCAGGAGCTCTCTAAATAACCTCAGACCTTTTGTTGTCAAGGGATTGTCAATGATGAGACTGGGCTGATTTGCCACCTTTGATAGTTCAAATGCCATACACAGTGCCAAAATGCTGAGGCTATACCTCTACTCTCCGTGTTCTTCAGGAAGAAGATTGTAGAGAGGGACTTTTTTCTTTTAAAAATTGGTGTCTTGGTGACAATAGATTACTATGATACTAGCTAGAAAAGCCCTAACGAGCAGCGAGGCAATGACAGAGCACATTTTGGGTGCTCAATGGACCAAAAGTACAAACCAAAAATAGTCGAAAAAAGGAGAACAGGCATCCCACAACATCTATATTCAAGTATTCCACAAAAACAAAAAGGGAAGAAGAAAAGGAATGGAGAAAGGGAGAAAGAGAAGAAGAAAGGGTTAGAGTGAAGAGAAAGAAGGAAATAAGGGCATTTTAGAAGACTTGTTAGAAGGCTCTGGCCTCTAGAGGAGCTGTGGACAATATAGAAGAGATATCAATCATAGAGAACTTTGCAATTCATTGAAAACTTATAACAGCACAGCTAACCAATCAACTAACAAGTATGCAGGCTTCAACTCACTCTCCAAAGTGTACGTCATCCCTCCAAGAACTTGGCCGTTCTCTTTGTCCCTCACATTCTCCCCTTTCCTATTCTTTTTCTTTCTGTTCCCTTTTATTGCGTACATCCTATTTCCCTGTGCTCTTGAGTACAACTTTATGGTTACCTTTTGCCCTTAATCAAGGAGTGCTCACTTTAAAAATGCATATAGAATCACTGGAAATTCACCCTAAGGAGCTTTTATAGGAAATTCATCCACTAGAATCATGTCTCTTCGGGATCATTTACAAAAAACATATGCATCAATAACATCATATAACCTACAAACCATACCCAATCAATTTAATTCACCAAAAATAAAGGTAGGGAAATAGCCACCGGAAAACAATTCGTAATTAATCAATAGGACTTCAGTGCCCAGAAAAATCAACCAAAACCCTTGATCATAAGGACAAGAAAGCACCCTCTTCTAATAATCATAAGAAGAAAAGTAGAACACGTTTTTTCCTTGATTAAAACAACAAAGCAACTTCTCCTAAAATATGTATGAGGACCGAGCAAAGAACCCTATCCATTGTCGGCATAGTCACAGGATCCTGACAGAGAAACTAGGGAAATGAAAAGACCAAATCAAAAGACGATAAATAAGGATCAAAATTTCACTTTTTTTTAGAAATGGATCAAAATTTACTTTTGCCAGGATAACTCTCTCAACACGCTTATTAAATTACAAAAAATCCATAGTGCAAATAGTCTCAATAATTCTCCCTCAAAGTTATAATCACAAACATCAAGAAATGGAGTTTACCAAGAGAAAATGGTAAAAGAAAGTCAAAAACATGTGCAACTATCAAAACCCAGTGCACCCTGAATAAAATGTTCTGAACAGAAAACCTCTTAATCAAGCAGCACACTAATCTCAAAACCATCTCCACAAATTCATATTGAAACAAGTCAAGAAGCAACTGAAGAACTAGATATACAGATTTTAGTCTGCCCCTCAAAAGAAGTGCCTCATATTCAGTAACACGCTGTACAGGACAATCAAGCATATGCAAAAGCCTAAGATTGAGTATCAAACTACATAAACAGATCTCTAACAGCCATATTGAATGAAATTTATACGAGAGAACAACTATTCAAACAATCCAAATAACAAAGAGGTAAACACACAACACGCACAAATATATCTCCTTTACGAAAATTTTCACATTTATTAAGAAAAAGACAAAAAATTGAGAAAAAAAGGAGATATATAAAAGACAAAGACAGATTGCTGTGAACCTGCACTGCAAGATGTGGGAGGATCCTTCTGCAGGTCCTTCAACTCCTTAAGGATCCGCTTCGAAGCCATTGAATTCGAGAAGAACCTGCACAACCCTAACAAAGACCAAAACCCTAAATTCGCAGAAACAAAAAGAGGAGAATCCTGTAACAAATGCACTAAGAAACCCTAAATTTCGAGAAAGAAGACGGAATGATTGCTGGAAGGACCTAACCTTCTCTCAATTGACGAGACTGCTCTCTTAATGCAAAAGACCTAGGGCAAAATTTTCAGGGCTTCTTTTTCGCTCCGGTATGGTAAGTGCTTGTGAATTTATCGCTTCTTATGCTTCGGGGGGCCCATCAATTGCTATTGCGATGTTAACTAGCTAATTGTACAAGGGCAATTTAGGATGCCAAGTCCAACTCAAATCATGGTTTAACTTTAAATAAAGGGTCATGGATGAAAAAAGAAAAAGTAAAATACCATTTATGGGGTTGAAACTCTATGCAAAATTATTAAACGGATCAAATGATCCTAATTAATGAGATATATTTTTATTTTCATTTAAATTAGCTAACTCCCTGAAAAAACATTACAAGATTTTCAAATTTTCATTGTTCAATATTAGAAGCTTGGAAAGATAAGGTATTTTAGTAATTTAACCCAGCAATTTAACCCCCAAGATGCCAAACCTAATGGTGGCATGGGTTGAGGGTCTAGGTGACCTAGCCTGATCAACCTATCCCTAAAAAACTAGGGTCTAGGCCTGGGCAATCATGGCTTGAAGGTAGGGCCAGATCCAGCATGGCCAAAGTTGATATAGTTCAGGTTGGCCCAACACGACCTTCTTTTTCTTTGTATCTTATTTGCCCCGACTCCACCCTAATGGGACTAGAGCCGGGCTTGGGTTAAAGGCTTTTCTACCTTATTAGGGTCGGGCCAAGCTTGGGCCTTTTTGGCCTCATCAGGCCAAGCCAACCCTTTAGGTACTAGGGCCAGGGTTAGTCCGGCTCAAACACTACTCATGCCCAATCCTAACCCAACCGCATAACAGATGCCTTTATTTATTCAAAGTTACAAATAAGGATCACGCACTTCAAAGTTTTTAATGAGGAACAATAAAAAGGCATTTATGAAGGCATTATGGTGCAAAATGTACAAAATTACATTTGCACCAACATCCAGTTGTTCCAATTACCAACATGTGAACAAGCACTGATATTGTTATTATTCAATTGGAGCTTCGATGGGTCAAATTATTGAAATGCTCCTAATTATTTAGGCCCTTTATGATGTTGTAAGAAGCGTTATAACCCTTTAAATGAATTTTTTCTATTAAGAAAAAGAGGTGATTTGACCATTTAGGGCATGTTTGGATGCCATCTTGGATGAAGATTCTTTTGTGATTAGACGGCTCCAATCACACGTAAAAAAAAAAAAATTACATAAAACCCTAGATCTAGAAGATCCTCCACCTAGGAGCGCCCCTCCCCCAATTGATATTTTTTTCTGATTGTGTTCCTTCTTATTATTATGTCTACATCGACCCCCCAAGTCAAATTTCAATTTTAATTAAGACCAAAATGCATTTGTGCTCTTTTTGGTTTCTTCTCTATCTAAATCTCTATTTTCTTGTGTTCTTTTCCATATACATCTATTCTCTTTTTTATACTCATTCTCTTATTCGTGCTCCCAAGTGAACCTCTGCGACCAAGGGTATTTTTAAAGGAAAAGGTTTATATAAGGTTGATCACATATGCACTTCAAAACTCCATTAGAAAAAGGTTGTTTTAACGTTGAAAAACTCTCTAATCGACCATCTTGACATCGAGATGTATGAATATGAAAAAAAAAAAAAAAACCAGAGATTTTTAGTCCCATAAATAGTACATCTTGCAGCATATTATCTAGGCCGTCCATTTTCAAGATTTTGATATATTTATAAATCCAATTGATTTTAATTATTTTTGGAGTTTAAAATTTTATAATTAGATATAAAAGTAGGTTTTCAAATAATTCTAAGATTTTTTTACACCAAAATCGCATGTTATGATAAAATTTGGAGGTACACCTTAATTGAATTATTTAAAATTGCAACCTTATAGAAACCGCACCTATTTCTAAATAATTAGTGAACACAGCTCTAAGATTGAATGATACTAGATCAATCACACTCGAATTCAATTTTTGAGGTCTCATTAATAAACCTCTAGTGTTGAATCCAAGTGGATAAACCTTTAACATTCATTGTTTGAGCCAGTAGACCATGCTATGAAATTGACCAAATTTTGAATCTAGTAACCGATTTCTTTTTTCTTATAAAAGTTCATTGTTCCTTTTTTATGTTGGATTAAAGGGTTTTTAAAAGGGAGATTAAGAGAATGGAAAGGATCTTGGTTGGCACATGTAAAGCATGTGAACTACATTGAAGCCCTTGAAACTCGCTTTGTATCAAACTGGCATTTTTTTTTTCAAGCCCTCACAACTTGTTATTTTAAGATTTTACACTCCAAAGATGCATCTATAATGACAAATGCTCTATGTCACGAATGGATATAAGTTACAATAATGATACCATGAGACTTTTCCACACCTATGTGAGTAAGATCTCAAAAGATTACCATTAAATTTTGACACAGATATCTAGAAACGTTATCATATGGGTGGTGAACTTAGGTGAATAGATTTATTAATAACTTTTCTAGATATCTGTGTCAAAATTTAATGGTGATCATTTGAAGTCTTACTCACATGATTATAGGAGGATCTCATAGTATCACTACTCTATAAATTATCAGAGCATCATAGCAAACATAATTAGTTGAAAGGAACAAATTACTCACTATCACATCTGCCGATTACGAAATATACGAAGAAGGCAGATAAAAAAAATCAATCAAATGAACCACATTTGTATAACAACCAACTTATACAAACTGACTATTTTCAAACAGGACATCCTGAGGAATTAAAGAGTTAAATTATGATGGGCAAATTGCACTTGCGGTTCTAATATGCACACATACGTAACAACTACTAAATCATATTCAATTGTCATGAAACAAAAGTGAGTCATCACCAATTTCTTTCAAGTCACTTTAAATTACAAGTTGGTTACATAAATAAGTCAATGAAAACTATTGCCAAAGCTAAAAAGTAGCTAATTGGTAAACGAGAACATGCTCGTCAAAGTTTACTTGTGTTCATATTTATTGATGGTCTAACATCTAACAATATTTCTTTGTTTGATGGTGGTGATGTCCTCGTGTTCCAATCTTGTAAGCTCCTAAGATAATCATCGCAAAAACCGTAACATCAGCGACATTACTCAACATTACTAGTTGATGAACTAGTCATTTTTTCACCTGCAAGAACAATGGGAAGTCATTGTTTATAAGCAAAACCTTAATACTTTCTAATCCAAAGGAACAATAGATAAACTTAAAATAAGCATAGCGACATTGAGTTTTGAAGCACATACAAAATTCTACTTGCCACGACTGTCACTTTACATCAACTTGTAAAGTGTGGAGAAACCCAATCAGGCACCAGTTATACAGATGGGCCTCACAGGTGCTCTACATTAATTACAATGTGGACACCATGATAAATACATGCGGAAAAATGGAGAATCAAGACACTTAGTAATCTTGTCACACAACCGCAACAATCTTATACATAACTAAGAAAATAAAAGGGAGAAGAGGGTCAGCACTATATTTTCCACCACTCTGCTGTCGAGAAATGGTTTTTGTAGGCCCAATAAGAAAAAACAAAAATTGGGGTATTCGATTCCACATACATGAATATGATCTCAATGATAACTCTCGTCTTTTGTCTGAGATGGCTCGTGCTATGTAGACATGCAGCAGAGAGAGAAGCTAATGGAGAAAGAGATGCTAAAGGTGTGTGAGAGAGAGTGTGTGCGCGTGGTGGAGGTAGGAGAGAGACACTAGTGACTAGAGAGACAGAGAAAGAGAGTAGTGGAGACCAGAGAACTTGAGAAGGGAAAAGAGGTAAGGTTGATAATGGGGTTTGAAGCAGGGGAGAGAGAGAGAGAGATATATATATATATGTATAGATGGGAGAAGAGATAGAGTACGACACAGCTGGGTTTCGTTGAGAAAAAGTGGTATGACATTGAGAGAGGTATAAGGTAAAAAGTTTTTTGAGAGTTAAGAGAGAGTAATGGGAAAAGTAAAATCCTAGCTGTTGATATTTCCCTTATTAATCAGAACTGTTGGGTGTCTGCTACCGGTAACCTGCTCTGAAGCAAGTTATTAGGTAAACCCCAATCCCAATCTCAAGATTGGCACCAGGATTTAACGATGAGGACGCATATATATATCATTATAGAGTAATTTATCATTGTACTAAACAAAATTTGGACACTTATATACCATTATTTTGTATATAGAGCATTTTTTTAATAAGGGCATTTTTTTTATATAGACCATACTAGTGGGCATGTAATGCTCTATATATGTGATGTCACACCACATATAGATGATGTCGCACCTCTTCTGATGACTAAAAATTTTCTTATTAAAAAAATGCTTCATGTACAAAACAAAAGTATAGAAGTGTCTAAAATTGTTGAGTACAAAGATAAATTACTCCATAGTGTGAGCACCTTAACTTAACCTAAATAAATATATATATAGGAAGATACTACAAAACTCCTATTGACGAAAATGAACGGTGATTTCGCCTACCCTCATCACTATCCAAAGTTCATCGCACAGTCACGATTGTCCAATAGTATTTCATTTTTCATTTTTTTTTCTACAAATCAGAATGAACTGAAATTTGGAAAGTGTGTTTATCAAAATTACGTAAATCTACCAAAAATATAAAAAAATATTTTACAAAAAAAATAATAAAAAAAGCCCCAAAAAGTCTTCCCAACTCCTATAAACGAAAATGAACAGTGATTTCACCTACTCTCACCACCGTCCAAAGTTTATCGTACGGTCACGATTGTCTGATAGTATTTTATTTTTCATTTTTTTTTATATAAGGGAATGACCTGAATTTTGAAGTGTGTGTTCATCCTAGTAAGGTGCATCTAATTAAAATATCAAAAAAAATTCGTAAAAATTAAATTGACCAA